TCCCGATTGCCCCCTCCCTGCGCCCCCCTTTCCCCCCTCACCCCCTCCCTCACCCCATCTTGCCACCCCTGGCACCAGGCCGAGCAGGAGACCCGGTTGGAGCCGTGGTGGCTGGTGGAGGTCACAAACGTTGGTGGGCGCCGCTGCACCCTAAATCAAGCTGCCCCATCCATGCCAGAAGTCGGTTGCGGCCCCTGATGCGCAGGCGTCCACAGCCCTTGTTGACTAGCGGCCATTGTGCATCAAGGCCCGCTTTGAGCGGGCGCCTTTTGCCATCAGCCTCATGGAATCAAAGCCCTCTGTGGGACATGTTGATGATCCTGTGTGAGGACTCGGCCAACCACATTTAATTATGAGCAACCATCACAAAACCTTTCCTTGGTGGTGCCCCACCCATGCAATCCTTGCGCCTCCGCCAGGCGAGGCCGAGTTCCGGGAGCTGGCCTCGCCAGAGGCGGGCCTCCTGCGGGCCGCCTGCGACGGCCGCAACGCGCCGCCCCTGGTGAGCCGTCGACCCCGTGCGCCGGTGCACGCGGGCCGAACGCAGCACCGTGTCCGACCGAGCAGCGACGGTGTTTGCGCAATCAAAACCAGTTTGGCGGCATGTGACGACAGCTGCCTCACGCCAGCCTTTGCCTCGGCTGCCCTGGCCGCCATCCATCCCCTCAACACGCCCCGGCCTCACCTGCCCAGCACCCAACCCCCCTCCCTCAACCTCTCCCCTGCTTTTCGTCCCCACCCCCTGCACCCCACGTTTCTAACGCCAGTACGTGACCCACCCCCCTCAACCCCTCTAGGTGTCCAAGTTTGAGGCGCCCCTGCTGCGCCGCCTGCACCGCCAGGGTCTGGTCTACTTTGATGTCCCCATCACGCCCGGCGACAGGTTCAGCATACCGCCCCTGGAGGTGACGGCCGCAGCTGAGATGCCTTTGATCTGGGGGGGAGCATGGCAGGGAGGGTCGCACGGGTGGGGCACGCATGTGCATGTGCGTTTATGCACACTTGCACACACACACACATACACACACAGGCTCGCGTACATACACACACTCTCTCTCTCACTTTCTCTCTCACATACACACATGTATACGCACACAAAACACAAACACACACACACACACGCCCTTGCTGTTCGAACACCACCACCCCCGCCGCCCCCAGGGCTTTGTGTCGAACCGCACCGCGGACGCCAGCGCCAGCGGGGCCGACCCCGTCGAGTCGCTGCTGTACGCGGCCTTCGTGGCCAGCAGCGAGAGGCTGGCGCTGGCTGACCTGGCGGGGATACTCAACGTGCCAGTGGAGGAGCTGCAGGTGGGGTTGATGCGTGCGCATGCGTAAGTGTATGCGGTGCGCGCATGCGCGCGCGCACGTGTGTGTGTGTGTGTGTGTGTGTTTGTGTTTGTTAGTGTGTTGGACGCGCGCATGTGCGCATGTATTTGGGGATGTATGGCTGCTGTTTCATCAACTGTTGTTGGGGAAGCTTGTGTGTAGCCTGTATGTTGATGAATAATTTGGGCTGACGCTTGTGTGTTGTCTGGCTGCAAATCAGTGGTTGCCGTCTCGCCACGGAGCAGCACTGAGCTACAGGCCGCGGGCGCGGGCAGCTGGCTGCACGCGGCTGCATCGTTGGGGCCGGGTGCGCCCGGAGGGCGGTCGAGGCCTGGTGAAAGGACAGAGTGCCGACTTGCTTCGGGACGACGGTCTCAGTTTTGAAGGCCCCCGTGGTCGGAGTCTGCTGCGGGTCAATGACCTTCTCTATGCCACAGCACCCTTTCCAGCCTTCCTCTTCGCCATTTTTATAACTGAAGCTCAGGCACCTCTCCCTCTGGAATCATGACGGCCCCCCTCCCTCCGCCCCTCCCCCAGGTCGCTATGTCGGTCGCCTGCCGCCTCGGCTTCGCCACCCGCCTCCCGCCCGCCGCCGACGCCCCCACCCGCCCGCTCGGCGCCGCGGCAGCAGCAGCTTCAGCCGCCGCCGGCGGCGGCGTCGCCCGCTTGCCGGGCGCGAGCACGCTGTCTATTCCGGAGGAGTTGGAGGAGGACGGCGGCATGCCGCTGGACCCGGCACAAACCGGCGACGGCGGCGGCGGCGGCGGGGGGCCGGCCCGCGGCGAGGGCGGCGCGCCGCCACTGGCGGACGGCGCGGCGATCGCGGTGGTTGTGGATTCCGAGGCCACGTCATACCTCATGATGGGCGCGCTCTCGCCGGGTGCGGCGGGGCGCGCGCTGGCTGCGGGTGGGGTGGGCCCGCGTGGCAGGGGGCCGAGGCTTGTCAGCGGGGCAGGGCCGGACGCGCGGACCCACTGACTAGACTGTGCAGCGCCGACCTATGCGCGCTGCTGACCACAAACACATTTGGGCGCCTGGGACACTGTGGCAGCGCATAATTCGGCCGGGTGTCTTCGCTGCCGCCGGCCTTCGCGTTCCCGTCGTTCAATCGCTGACCATGGGTCGCCCCGAATTCGTAATCGGCTCCCTCCACGAACGAAAAGGCCTAAAGCGCCACGCGGTGTCGTTGTTCGAGGCGGGCCGCGTGAGCGGGGCTGAGGTCGTGGCGGAGCTGATCAGAGAGCTCTGGGCCAGCTACGAGGCCGGCCAGGTGCGCCTACCGGTCGTCCCCCGGCGTGGCTGGGCTGGGCTGAATGCAACGCTTGCGCAGGCGCTGCGGCGCGTGGGAGGGTCAGGCTTGAGGGGCAGCCTTGGGCGCCGAGCCGCCCCCAGCGCACGGAGGCCCCCGCAAGGGCCGTCCGCGCACCCTTCAACCCCCCCATCCGGGGTCTGTTAGACACCATTTTTTGAAGAGTCGGTCACCGACACACCTTGAAACAGCCGTGGGTCCTCATCACGCCCGCGGCCCCGCCTCGGACCGCGACCCATCCCCTCCAGGGCTTCGAGGGTGAGATGCTGCAGCTGACCAACTACACCGCCGCACTGGCCACCCTGCTGGAGGCCGCGCGCGCCGCGGGCGGCGGCGCCCAGCTGGAGCTCGTGCGCAAGGAGTCCCTCGCGGGTGGGTGGGCCGGCGCGGACGCACACGCGGACGCGCCGCCGCTCCGCCGCGTCCGCGGAGGCCGCTGCTGGGGCTTCGCCTGCAGGGGGCGCGGCAGGGTGGCGCGGGGGGGTGGCCGGGGGGGGGCTAGAGAGGGAGCCGGCCGCAGCCAACAATCGCGGCCAATCCAGCGCCGGGAGTCTCACAGAGACCCCCTGCGCCGCCCCGAGCGGGCCGCCGAGACTCCCGCGTCTCCCCTGCGAGCTCGTCCGCCGCAAGCTTCGCGGCGGCGCCTCGTTTGTGACAGAATCGCCGTGGCGACGACCGGCTGTTGCGCCGCAATCGGCTGCGCTCGCCCAAACCGAGCCCGCCGCTGCCCGGCTG